GGATAATGGAAAAGAATATGTAATTTAGGCAGCTTAGTGCTACTATAACAGAATACCTGCAGAGTATGAAGTACCTACTTATGAAGTAAGCAGAGGTGTATTTTGGCTCATGATTCTGGAGATGCAAGACCAATTGTCTCATTTGCTTGGGACAAGGGTGGCACATAGTGGTGGAGTAAACTCTTTACATACCGAGACTGAAAGATGGGAGTCTGTAACGAGGGCATTCTGTGTGACCTAACGAAGGAGAGATGAATATCTCTCATGAATATTGACTACAGTATCCTTAAGAAATGGTAGCAAAGAGAATTCAGGATTACATAAAAAGAATTACCTGCCACAGCCAGGCAGGATTTATCCTAGAGATTTGAGGTACTTTAACGTTTGAGAACTAATCAATATGTACTAATCACACAGTTATAATTGCTGCTAAAAATTGACAAAGTTTAGCTCCCCATAAAAAAAAAAAAAACTTAAAAAAATGCAAACAGAATATACTTCCTCAGTTAATGAAGAACAGCTATAAAGAGCTTAATGCAGTGTTACATTTAGCAATTAGATGATTTCCTCCTAAACTAAGAAATGAGGTGGTTAGCTCTTCTCATGACTGATGTTCAGCCTTCTACTAGATGTTACAGTTCTGGGCTTGGGGGGGCGGGGGCGAGAGGAGGGGAGGTGGAGCCCATAAAGAGGAATGGAGGAAGTAAAACCGTGACTGTTTGCAGAAGACAAAATGACTTGTATAAGGATTTCCCCAAAGTTTGCCAAATATCTGCTAGAATTTATTCTCCTTATACATATTAAGTATGTTGATAGTCCTTCAATTAGTGTAATTTATATCAAAATCCTTGTAAGATACTTATAGATGTGAGTATTCAAAATCTGTATTGAAAATAAGAGAGAAGAACTAAGGCAGATTTGAAAAAGAATGTGAGGGTGGATTTCAATAGCTCTGGGGTGTGTGGTACTTGAGATGGGGTAAGTGCGTGGGTTAATGAGTAGCATTTAGGATCTGGAAGAAGACCAGTGAAAGGAGAGCCAGCTCATTTGACAGAGGTACAAAGTGGAGCACATGAAGAAAGGATCGTGTTTCAGACAGACTTGGATCGCAGGCTTAAAATAAAAAAAAATGAATTTTAACATAAGCCTCATATTTTATACAAATATTAACTTAAACTGGATTATAAACTTTAATGTAACATGTGAAACTATAAACCCTTTGAAGAAAATTGTGGGCAATTTTCAGGGCTTTTGCTAGATTAAAAGTCCCCAAACAAGAAAAAACCTTGATAAGCTAGACCTTATAAGACCTCATATAAGTATTTTTGGGAGAAAGACTGTTCAGAGACATAAAAGCAATCCAACAAATAAGGAAAAACTATTTGCAGTTAACTTAACTGACAAAGGACTTTTGTCTAGAATATATGAAGAACTCTTAAAAAGCCAACACTGAAGATCCAGTCAGCCAATGTTGAAATGTATCAATAGGAATAAATCAGATCAAAGAATGTCTATTGTTGGGAGATACATGGAAATGTCTGTTCTCTCAAGATACAGACAGACGAATGAAAGGATCACTCTTAAATCCTCTGAGTTTATTGGGGTTCTTTTCAGGAGATGACATACAGGTCAGTCGTTCACTTTGCATTATCTATGAGAAGCGAGGGCCTCCTGAAGAACTCTGGAAGTCTCTTAAGTGTCATGTGACCCTTGTCTTCCTCCAGGAGGGAATATTAATGGTCCCTATCCTGTGAGGGTGATCACTGAGTCATCACATCTGTGCTGCATCATGACAATTATGGTCTGGTCCAGCCTGAAGGAAATATCTACCCTGATGGAAATCTACATTCTAGAGCATAATAATAGTTTCATGAGTCTATACTACACTTAACTTATACATTTAAACCTTACTACTTTATAAAATTACAGTTCACTAAAGCTGTTTTTAAAAGTAATTATTTTAAATAGGCAACTATTAACCCACATTGAAGTGATAAGTACTTTAATTGAGATAGCTAGGTAAATGAGAACAAGAAGTACATTGTCTTCTTTGGGATTGTTTGCATTTTATTACACTGCTGGAGCTGTCATTCATGACCATGCTACAGAGCAACTAGCTGGGGCTGTTTGCTCCAGCCAAATACAGATAGACCACCAGTCTCAGGTCATTGAAGCATTCAAGGCTATGGGACTGCACTAGCAGACCTTTTGTGGCTTATGGCTAGCCTCAAGCCTAGAGTGTAGGAGTCTCGTTGTTCTAGACTTTGGAAGCCAGAGCCCGTGGTCTTGTCGGAGGCATAGGATCCTAGATTTTAACCAGCAGCAGCCCAAGCACTTGGTAATCTTCAGCTTCTAGCTTCTGAGAGCACCAGCTATGGGAAGTTCCTGCTAGTGTCACAGATCCTGAAGGGCTTGGGTAGGGGGACTCACTGCCTTTAGCAGCTGGTGCTATATACAGCTCTTGGGCTGAGGATGTTGGGACCCTGGCCCTTGTCAGTTCTACCATCTTCTCCTTGTGGCTATGACCCTTGAGGATTTTTGTTTTGTTGTTGGTCTTTTTTCAGTATATTTCATCTCTTGCATTTCTTCTGTGTGCAAATTCACTCATGCTTTACTCCGCTCTTCTATTCTTCTAATAGGCCCATCTATTTAGGTTGCTTATTGCTAAAACAACAACAACAACAAAACACCACAAAAAACCACTCCTGTAATGTTTAGAAATTCAGGTTAGATGTGAGGGAAGATGTTACAAGAAAGCTCACCATTGAAAACTCAGATCATCTTCTCCGTTACAGCAGAGAATGGGGATGGAATACAGAAACTGCAGAATGGGTTCTAACAGGTTTAAGCAGTGAGGCACTACAGACGTAATTTTCTGTTGATGCCTAACACCATTCTTCATTTTATTTTTTATATTATGAGCTCCTCCCGAAAATAAGCTAACAGTTATATAACATCCATCTTGTGAGTCTAGAACATTTTTTTAAATGGGAAAGTAGCTTGTTGATAATATTGCTAGCATTATAGCATCATAGTTAGGATTTTTGGTTTCTATGTTTTAGTGACTTAAAACTTAGTGTAATTTTTTTTAGATGTAGAATTAATGGTCTCAGAGTTAATGGTTTGTTGTTGTTTGTTTTTAAACTCTTTACATGAAGATCTCTAACCTTAGATTGCACTGAGGGAAATATGTGCTAGTTTTTACACATTGACTCAGTGTGGGGAATGCAGTTTCACCCTCATCAGCCTGAGTCTTATTATAAATACTGTTTTGAATGTAAGTTGAGTATTTGCATATTCTCATCTATGTATAACTACAGACGTAAAGAAATGACCCACAGTTAGGGAAGCCAATCATTCTTCTATTTTCTCAGTGTTATTTCCTATTATGCATAGGAACAACAGCAGCTGTAGGGGCAACCGTGAGCTGGTACCCAGCAGAGGGAGGAGACCCAGTATACAGAAACACACTTGATAGTTGTAGCCATTATTTATCCAGTTGATACCAGGATTGACCCAGTGAAAGGAGAGAGGACAAGGCACTGAGCGACAGTTACTTTTGCCTCATTTGAGTGTTTCAGGAGGTCTTACTGTACCTTCTCTCCTCCCTGAAGCAGCCACAGGCTCCCGCAGCCTTGGAATCACTGTTTCTTTTCATTGGGGACTTCCTTGGTTGCAGTTTTCTCTTCTGTTCCTGTTGTGTTTGGTTTGGAAGCACATAAGGAGACAGTTGGTTTCCTGGTGTCTTATTATCCTTTCCTGTTTCGTCTGCCTTTCAGATGGAGGTTCGGTGTTGGGGTCTTTGGGGGTCCACAGTGACACAAACTTGAGACAGAACAGACTTAGTCAGTGGCTTAGGAAGTCCCTCTAGAGACCAGTGAGTGCTGTGGCACAGGATGGAAGGCAGGGAGGTTGGAACGTTCACGTTCTTTGGTAGGTCGTGAAAGGCTGGAGAATAATGTGGTAATAGTAGTTGGATGAGACTTCCTGGGCTAGATCATTAAATGCCTGGGACTCTCCCTTCCCTGGGAATCTCTTATTTCCTATCTTGATCATCTGCAATAACCCAAATATAGACTCTATTAGGACAGTGCTTAGTCAAACTGAAAAGAAAAAGGTTATTTTTCTAGGTTACAATGAATATAGAAATACCATTTTAGCCCCCACGTGGCAGGATGGGGTGCATATGCAGAGATGTAGGCTAGAAACTGAGCAGGGACTCTTGTATAGATTTAAATGTGGCCTCTTCTCTGCTCAGCACCTTCTCCCTAACTACTTCAAGATTTGGACTGACTGGAAACATACTTTCCTGACGTATCAGGAAGCTAATATATCCCCAAAGGTCATTTGGAAAGGTTTTTCTTCCTTTTGGAAATGTATGCAAATTGCTTAATCACCTAAGTTATGAGGAAGTGCCAAAGTCATTCTGTCCTCGACCATGTGATGGGAACATTTTCCCTGGTAATTGGTGCATGTGCTTCCTGGCCTGACACTTCATTGTAAGAAAGACTCAGAAGAAAAGAAGCTGTGAATAAGTGGAATTTGGTTTTCTTAGTGCCTGCTTCTTCCATGTACAGAGGACACCTGGGTATACTCCAGGCTGGAAGGGAAGTAGAATTTGAGTCTGCAGCACAGAGAGGGGTGTGGTTTCTCCTAGAGACAAAACTCTGCAGTGATTAGTTAAAATGAATCAGTAGGGTATTTCTGGGCACAGTCATTTATTAGCTTTCCGCAAGTCTATAAGAAAGACTGGAGCCCAAATGTCTGTAGAGAAGGCATTATTTATTGATATTGGGGGGGGGTTATAAATACATAAGGAAGCTGCAAGTTTAATTAGATTTTTCTGGGATTTAGGTGACTACTCCTGGTGCTAACAGTGTGAATGGGGAGCTGTTGAGAAGGGTTTCTGCTGCTTTCTCACAGCTTACAGCGCCTGTCACAGGGGTGGTACCTCTGTCACAGTGACTCCAGCCTGGCGGCCAGTCTCTTCTGTGCTGCTTTGGAGATCAGGACTGATGGCTGTCTGAACTTCAAATGCCCGAGGACGGAATCTTTGGCGCATGCCCTTGAGGCCGCGAGCAGAGCTCTGCTGGATAAGGACCGGATCTGTCTCTTTGTGGCTCCAAGGTTGGTCTGTGCTCCTACCTTTCTGCCAGGGGTCTTTCCAGAGCAAGAGACCTGGGTCAACTGTGTGAGCACTCTGTTCCATAGCAGCCTGGAACAGAGATGTGTTGGGCCAACTGCTCTGGGGAACTCCATAGGCTACTTTGAATTCAGTGTCATGGATGGCACCAGTTGCCTGGTCTACTCTCATGCCAACTGCCAGGCCTATAGCCAGGCCTCTCTCTCCTCTGAGCAGCCAATAAGGATAATTTGTTCTAGTCCCTCTACAGTAGCCCCACTGTCCGGCCTGTCTTTGCCATATTTGGTAGTGTTGGGGATCAAACTGAGATCCAGGAGTATGCTAAGCAAGCAGTTTTGCACTGAGCTGCCATGTAGCCCAGCCCCTATGGTTTTGATTCTTTTCAATATTTATCTTTGTCCTTTTTTTTCTTTTCTGAAATACTTAAGAGAGGGTAATATTTCTATTTTGCTCTTCATATTGATTGAAAAGTCCAGAATAACATAGAGTCAGGTCACTGACAGGTGATAGACCCTTATATTACCAAAATGAACCTTACTTTTCTGTCTAGTTGTTAACACATTCCTGTGTGTTAGTGCTATCTCTGTGTAGATGTTAGAGGCAGCTGAAAACATAGTTTTCTACCTTTAAGTTTTGTTGAAACATCAATGTTGGTTCTGGTAGAAAGCCCCCGTTTGTGCTCTTTATCCCACGAAATGTTCTTCAGACTCTATTGTTCATACTCTGAGATGGATTATTAGAAGTCCTGAGATTTCATGTATTTTCTTTACATTTCATTGCTGTACAAAGAGGCCTATTCACCATACTTGATCCATTCAAAAAGTACATGTTTTTCACATTTCCACTTGAAAACTAATCGTATATATCTTGAAGTTGAATAGCATTTTAATTTTTCAAGTTTTTTGAGATTATATTATTTCTCCCTCCCCTTTCCCCCCTGCAAACCTTCCCATACACTCCTCTCCACTCTCTTTCAAATTCGTGGCCTCTTCTCTCATTAATTGTTGTTTCATACATGTATGTGTATTCCTAAATATATAAACACAACCTGCTCAGTCTGTATAGTGTTTCTGACCAAGCCTGCGCTTCCTGGGTTTCCAGTACATTCCAGCTTCGAGACCCCAGCTTCGCCCCCATTTCATCAGGAAGCAACCATGGACAACTTCTACAGCCCCTTTGTCACATACCCTTCTTTTTGAACTGAACTCTCCAGCCCAGGGACTGGTCTGCCCTTAAAAAATGTTCTATTATTAATTGTATAAATTTTGCTCATGATCTGAAATGTATGTACTATTAGATATTCCCTCATATATTTTTCACAATCGTTCTATATGTAAGTCTTGTTATATATGCCCTGAGGTTATTACTGTCCTCTCATAGTTATAGTTTAATATTGCATTGATTACAAATTTGTATTAGGTAAGCTTCAGCTGCAGCCTTGTTCCCACAGATGGGCATGACTAATTCAGGTAATTTTATCCAACTATACCTCCTTAAAATACAGCTTAGCCAAATTTACACCACTACCAAAGATTAACAGATAGAGTCAATGTTCCAAACTAATCATTTCTTTTTGATAAGTCAGAATCATAGTATTTAGACACATTTGACCATATTATGATATACTAGCTAATGGTAGATTTTTATGTTATTCCTCTGTCCTCCTCTTGGGACAGAGATATTCTGATTATATACAAATATACCTATTAGATGGTTAAACTAATTCTCAGCTTGCTGTCTATATAGATTATTGATTGTAAATACACTTTAAAGATTGTAAATATATATTATTGAGACAAATATTCATCATATATCAAAAAATTTTTCATTTTTTTTAGTCATCTCCAAACTTAATATTTATCCACATCATCCATTGCCCTAGAGAGAATTAAACATCTCTTTTTTACTATACAAAAAAAAAAAAAAACAGGAATTCTTGCAGTCCACAAGAATATATTATAGAGATTCAGCTGTGTATAAAAGCTATACTTTGACTGGCCAAGGGTCCATCAAATGGGAAGCCATTTATCACGGAATATTTGGTGTTATACAGCCTTAATATTTCAGCTGTCTTCTGCTATGAAATTCTTGCATACTCAAATACTCCCAGATCATATTCACAAACAGCTAAGCTTTTCAGACCTGTGGAACTTCTAGGTAACTAACTCCCTTGCTCAGCCTAGGTGACAAGCAGGCTGTGGAGGCATAGCTTTGCTTCTTGTGCAAATGAAGCTCAGACCATCCTTTGCCTTCAAGCCTAATGGCATTCCAGAGCAATTGACTGAGGACAATAGGGTTTTTTGCATAACCAGGTGCAGTAAGGACTGGAGCAAAATTCCACAGGCCGACACAGAACCCAGTGGCTAGAGAGAAGAGAGGAAGACAGAGGTTCAGTAGAGGGTAAAGCAGATCTCATGTAGAGTTTATCAGGGCCAGGGGTGAGGAGCCAGGAAGGATAGATGGAGGACGAAGGAACAGAGGACGAAGATCAGGTCAAAAGCATAGGAGCTTACTAAAACTATGAGGACAGGAAAACTGGGCACAGAGAGGAGCTGAATGTGAGGACAGAGCTGAAGCCATATGGGTAGAATTTTGTCATAGAGGAATAAAGTTAGCGAACAAGAGAGCATAGTGTATGTAGGTTCCTTTCCCTCAGATACCCCTTGCCATATGTAGCGCTTTCCCAGGACTCTGGGAGGAATTTTCTCAGGGTAGGAACTTGGGAAAATTCCTTTTTCGTTAGTATATATCTTGAAGTTGAATGGCATTTTAATTTTTCAAGTTTTTTGAGATTATATTATTTCTCCCTCCCCTTTCCTCCCTCCAAACCTTCTCGTATACTCCTCTTCACTCACTTTCAAATTCGTGGCCTGTCTCATTAATTGTTGTTTTGTATATGTGTGTATTCCCAAATATATACATACAACCTGCTCAGTCTGTGTAGTGTTTCTGACCATTTGGTATTGGCACTCATCCCTGGACACAAAATTTCACCAATGTGCCTGCCCAAGCCTCTTAATTTTGATGGGATGTTTATTTAGAGGCTAATCGGTACAATTGAGATTATCCATAAACATACATAAAAATCAACAGAAAAAAAGTTTCTCTTCAAATCCCGTTCAGAGTTTCTGTTATACAGAATGAGGATTTTATAACCCATTATTTTAAAACTCTGTTTCTTCCAGAAATTCATCCCTTTGGTGAGGTGCCATCAGTTTAAAAAAAGATTCCTTGTTTCTCTGAAATGGCCTTTATTTTGATTTGACTCTTGGTTAACCATTTGTGTGGGCAAAAATTTCACAGTTGAGTTCTACGGTTACTTTCCATAGTTTGTAAGTGTCCTTTCCTTGACTGGGGAAGCTGTTGAGTTCCCATCTGCTCTCTGGTCAGTTATCATACTGCACTCCCTTGGGGATAAACCATGACTTTGTGCTTTTACGATAGTGTCTTTTTATGTTACAGCTTTACTGCAGTGTGATTTATTTATTTTTGTTGCTGTCTTTCCTGTCTTTCTTCTTTTGAAGAAAGGGTTTATTTTGGCTTATGGTTCCAGAGAGATAGAGTCCATCATGGTGGGGAAGGGATAATAACAACAGAAGCAGGAAGCTGGCTGGTCACATCCTTAATCCATACAGGAAGCAGAGAGAGAGAACAGGAAGTAGGGTGAGGCTATAGATCTAAAGCCTGCCCCAGTGATGTGCTTCTTTGAGCAAGCAAGGCTCCATCTACTGAATAGTGTCACCACCTGGGGATCTGATGTTCAAATACATGAGCCTAAGGGGGACATTTCTCATTTAAACTATCACAGTGCCCAGGGGAGGGGGAGGGGGAGAGCTGTGTGTGTGTGTGTGTGCGCGCGTGCGCGCACGCGCCCACATATGCTCACATGTGAAGATCAGAGGATGGCTTGACTGTTGTTTGAGTCTCAGGATTACCTTCCACACTGCCCCCTTTATTTTGAAGACCGAGTCTCTCAGTGGTCTGGAACTCTCCAAGTCTGATAGTATGTCCAACCATTGAGCTTCCTCTACCTGTCTCCTCCTTGTCAGTTCTGGGCGTGCATGTCTCTAATCCTGTTTTGTGTGTGTATGTGTGTTGTGGCTGTTGTTAAATATGGTCAGGATTATATTTATAGAAAACTTTCAAAGATGCCTCTTATAGCCCTAATTGTTTCCTATTATCATCTTACATTAGTATGATATGTTTTATTACAATTAATGAATGTGAATAGATCGCTTATTTAATTTATTTTTAGATAGGTTATTTTACTCTAACTTCCATCCTTTGTTTTGTTTTCTTAGGTTTTTATTTGCATTTAATAAATTGAATTCACTTTACTTCCCAGCACCTATTTAGCCCCCTCTCCACACACACTTATTCTCAGTCATCAGAGCTTTATAGGCTCCTTTTCATTTTTACACTTTCTCAGGCTTTATTTTCAGTGAACTTGACATGTTTGAGGAGTGCTGGGAAGGCATTTTGAAGTGTGTCTCCATTGGGAATTGTTGGGCATTTTAATCAAGGTGCGACTGGAATTCTGTGACCGAGTGAGACAAGCCATAGATTAAAAAGTGTTATTGTCTTGTCCTTAAAGGACACATCTGTGGTATAAACAAAGACAACAGTAGACATGCTAATGTGGATGGGGGGAATGGAGGGAAGCCCAGAGGCCTCAACCCTAAACAAAGAATTAAGATAACTAGGCAATGTTGTGAGCAGGAGAAGTAGTCTTCCTTGGGGAAGCACACATTAATTGGTTATCCAATACCAAATGGTCAGCCCTGGAAATATATACAATTAACATTATATACACTGAGCAGGTTGCATGTATGTATTTAGGAATATATGTATATTATGTATAGGTAACAAAACAGTGAAAAAAGACACACTGAATTTGAAATAAATCAAGGACGTGCATATGGGAGGGTTTGGAAGGAGGAAAGGGACTAAGGAAATGATGGAATTATAATATAAAATTGAAGAA